ACGGGAGCAGAAAGCCTCATCTTTCTCCCGCGGAGCAGCTGGTAGTTTCGAACTGCTGACCTTGCAGTTCGCAGCCTGAGCTCCTTATATAGAAATGTTAAATTCACTTGGGCACCTAGTCTGCATTCTGTAGCGATAGCATGGTGGTGGTGGTGGTGGTGGTGGTGTGGTGTGCCGTGGAGTCGGTTGCAACTCATAGCCACCCTGTGTAGGGTTTCCAAGGCTGCAAATCTTTACGGGAGCAGAAAGCCTCATCTTTCTCCCGCGGAACAGCTGGTAGTTTCGAACTGCCGACCTTGAGGTTAGCAGCCCGACTTGTAACCATTACACTACAAGAGCTCCTTAGCGATCTCATAGTAGTGTATAAGGCGACTTTATTTCTTCCTGGAGTCATTCTGAAAGACCAGGAATAAAACTTCCTGCTCTTATCATTAGTTGGAGTCCTGGTGTGGTGCTGTGGGTTGATGCACCAGATTGCTTGAACTGCAAGGTCAGTGGTTCAAGCTCACCAACCAGCTGCTCCTCAGAAACCCTATACAGGATCGCTATGGGTTAGAATTGACTCGACGGCACTTAACGACGACAACAATCCTTAGTTGGAAACTAAGTTACATTTTCATTAACTAGGCTATTCCCCAAATCAACCTAATAGACTCACTGATATCAAATCACAACTTGACTGCAGTTTGTCACACTGCCATTTGCTCCATTTTGAAAATTATCAGTAAAATAAAAGTTTTAGTTGTCTATCTAAATTCAGAATATGAATCTTAAGTGCCAGGTTAATAAGCCAAGTTTATTTCCATGGGTAATTACCTGCTTGGTTAACAGTCGTGAATAAAAAAACAAACAAACAAAAAACCCCTCAAAACCAGACTGACTATCATCAAGTCACTTCTGACTCATGATGGCCTTTGGTTAAGTGCCATCGAGTCAGTTCTACCTCATAGCAACCCTGTATAGGGTTTCTGAGGAGCAGCTGGTGGGTTTGAACTATTGACTTTGTGGTTCTTAGTCCAGTGATGATGAGAGGCTCATAGGATAGAGTGAAATTGCTCCTCAGGATCTGAAACTGCAAATCTTTACAGGAGCAGACTGCCTCATCTTTTTCCTGGAGAGTGGCTGGAGGGTTTGAACCTTTGACCTTCTGGTTAGCAGTCCAGTGCTTATCCCACAGTGCCATCTGGTGCTCCTTGAAGCCAGAATCGATGTTTTTATTCCAGCTTTGTGACTTGTCTATAAATATTTTCATTATATTAAGTTATGTTCACTTACGTATAAGACTAACTCACATACAAGACAGCTTTGTGAAAAGCTGCAAGTACTCTCAATTGTAGGCTTATGATTGTCTTTCTATACATGGCAAAACAATTTTGTAAATATTCAGGATTTGAGTTCTTTCTAGGAGAGCCCTGAATTGCCTAATTTAATTAGTGGAATTTTCACAATAATCATTTCCCATACAAAGTGTTATACTTATAGCCTGTTGGTACTCTAGTATCAGTTGCTTTATCAAACTGATTTTTCTTAAATGCACTGGTGCATTTATTTAAAAAAAGTATTTTATAAAGCATAAACGGTTTTAATGTTGGTTTTGAAGCGCCTCCTTTTTTTTTTCCTTTTGAATCCTGTCAAACTAACTGAAATGTACAATAATAGGATCATATGAAAGGTTCGTAACCACTATGCAAAGTCAGCAGTTCGAAACTACAAGGTGTTCCGCAGGAGAGATGAGGCTTACTGCTCCCGTAAAGATTTACAGCCTCGGAAACCCTGTACAGGGTCTCTATGAGTCGGAACCGACTCCACGGCACTTAACAACAACAACTTGAAAGGTTCACAATTTCCTGCTCTGTCCTAAGGTGACTTCTGTTGTCCTCTAATGTCCTATAAGCACTACAGAGTAGTGCTTCTAGTTTCAGTACAAAGGCACTGAGAGTCTGAGGATAGCAAAGCAGATTCTGGTGAGAGGGACACCAAGCAGCGCATAGCATTGTTGTAGCTCTGAAACCAGTGAATGATTGTTTTAGACTAGAGTCATCTCATAGGTAGACCTCATCTGATGTCATTAGCCTTAGACGGCAGGTGGCTGACATGTGCCACAGAAGTGGGGCTCAAACTAAAGATCCTACTGTAGTGTCAATATGACTGCTGACAATAAGTGTGCACTATTTCAGTGCTAAGGATCCCTGGTGGCGTAGTAGATTACACATTGGGTTGCTAACCACAAGGTCATCAGTTTGAATCCAGGGCCTTTCTGTAGGGAAAAAAATGAGACTTTTCTGCTCCCGTAAAAATTTACAGCTTTGGAAAGTCTGTACAGGATTGTTACGAGTTAAAATCAATTCAAAAGCACACAACAATAACATCATTTCACTGCTAAGAGTAGAGTTGGGAATATATTTATGTTAAATGGTTGTGGTTGTGAGCTGTCAAATCGGTGCCAGCTCATAGCACCCCTATATTAGGTTTCCAAGGCTGTCATTCTTTCTGGGAGCAGAAAGCCTCATCTTTCTTCTTCAGAGTGACTGGTAGATTCAAATTGCTGACATTGTGCTGACATTTTTGTTAAGTAGATGAGGAAAATAAATCACCTGCTTCCTAATAATAAGGATGAACTGCTTAGTGTAGTAATGTAGATAACTGTTTTTGAATATATAATTTTCCTTACTTGACTTGGTAAGTTGTTTCAATTAACATACTCCTTTTCTTTTCTTAATCAGAATCCTGATGTTGGCTTGAAGCCTGTGTGGTACAGTCCAAAAGTGTTCATTGAGGGTGCTGATGCAGAGACCTTGTCAGAGGGTGAGATGGTCACATTTATAAATTGGGGCAACATCAACATTACCAAAATTCACAAGTAAGAACTCTTTCTTTGTTTTTGAATAATTGTGGAAGAAAATGTCTTTTTTATTATTTACTTATTACTTTAGTTCATGAATACTTGATTGACAATCTTAGAGCAAAAATAGTTCCTTTTATTCTAGAGGCCCTTATTAAGAAAGTCATTGCATATTTGCCTGAGTGTGTGGCTGTTAGAGACTCTTGAATGGATTTGTGTGGGTTGGTTAGTTGGTTGGTTATGTACCGTGAAGTTGGTTTCAACTCATAGCGACCCTGCATAGGATTATCTAGGCTGCAAATCTTTACGGGAGTAGGTAGTCTCATCTTAATCCCACGGAACAGCTAGTAGTTTCGAACTGCTGACCTTGAGGTTAGCAGCCCAACTTGTAACTTCTACTCATTGGGAACCCTATATAGGGTTGCTGAGTTGGAACCAACTAGATGGCACTAAATAACAACATTAGCAATACTGTTTTATGAAGTCTTGGCGTAGTTCTGTAGGATAAAGCACTGGGCTGCTTAAGATTAGTTTATATTAACTCATCTTAGTTGTTTAGTCATTGCATATGATTTCAAAATAATTGTTAAGTGTTTAAAAAGAAAATATTTTAGATTTCAGAATGCTTAAGGCAGATGACTTTAAAATTTGTATATCATTACATGTTGTATATTTGATATATGAGTCTGTTCTCTAGTGGATCATTAATATCTCCATAGCAGCTTATATTTTATTCCTCTGAAGCACCTCTGTTGTTATTGTTATTAAGTGCCGTTGAGTCAGTTCCAACCCATATCGACCCGGTACAGGGTTTCAGAGGCTGTAAATCTTTACGGGAGAAGAAAGTCTCATCTGTCTACCACGGAGCGGCTGGTAGTTTCAAACTGCTGACCTTAAGGTTCGCAGCCTGATTCGTAACCACTATGCTACCAGAGCTCCTTAATCACCTCTGTAGCCCCAACATATGTCTAGTACATATTAAAAATTAAAGTTTGATTGTTTTTTCCCAAAGAATCTTTCTTATCAGTCTATTATGGGTATTGTAATGCTACATGCATTTACGGCAGTTTTGATACACATTCTTTAAATACTATTCAATATTCTACCTAGAAACACAGATGGAAAAATTGTATCTCTTGATGCTAAATTGAATTTGGAGAATAAAGACTTCAAGAAAACCACTAAGATCACTTGGCTGGCAGAGACTGCACACGCTCTTCCTATTCCAGCTGTCTGTGTCACTTACGAGCACCTGATCACAAAGCCGGTACTGGGAAAAGATGAGGATTTCAAGCAGTATGTCAACAAGAACAGTAAGGTAGTCTTTGAAAAGAAATTTTATTTTATCTATTCCTGTTATGTAAGCTTTTCTTAATAATTAAAACAATTAATTTTGAACTATTTGAAAATATGTGTACTAGAGTGACACATATATAAGCCTTTATTATTTTTTTTATTTGATATCCATTATAGAAATCTGGAGAATATGGCTTCAAAGTGAAAATGATGTGTCTCTATAGAGAAAGGAGTCAAAGATGGTACCAGGAGAAAGCTGTGACTTTGACAGAAATAGACAAGACAGGAAATGAAGTTGATTTGAGTGCAGATTATGAATTCATTCCAGGAAATGTTATATTTTAGGCTTAAATTGGGTATATAGGTAGAAATTTTTAGTTACTAAAATGTGAAAGTGCAGCTTGAAGGTTATAGCTAGAAGTTGTAGATAATGTGTAATCTGCATACACGTGGTATCCAAGCTACTGGAATAGTGATGGCTGTGGGGGCAGGGGCAGGCTTGTGGGGTGTACCCTTTGGTTGTTTGATGATGCACGGAGGGGATTGTAATCACTGCAGTGAAACGAAGTGCAATAGGATGAATGTAAAGCTGATATTCTCCCATGTAAACTATCACTTAATTCACAAAAAAAAAAAAAAAAAAAAGATTGTTTGAGAAGGTATAGGTTGGAAGACAGCCTTGAGCTACAACCCCATAATTTAGAAAGTTGAGGTTTAAGAGAAGTCCTTTCGTTAGGTGATTAGCAAGTCACTGATGACTTCTAAACAGTATTTGAGTTCAACAATGTACTCAAGTAGGCACTTTACTAAAGTGTTTAAGGAAGCGGTAAGTAAAGATTGCACTTTAATGAACTTGGTGCAAAAGGAAGAGAAAGAAAAAGACTTTTCATGTAGTCAGTGGAAGGCACATTTTTTAATTGCTGAAAATATTTGTACTAAGATGCTTGGTATTCCTAGATAGGGAAGAGAATGTGAACACAGGGACCGTTTATGTTTTGCTCACTGTTGTCTCTCCACAAATATCTGAAAAACTGATGTACAGTGAATATATGTCAAATGAATATTAGTGATGAGAACCTAACTGATAAAACATGTTTCTGGAAGAAAGAAAAAAATGGAATTAATAAATATTGGAAGAATTAATAAATATTGAAAGATAAAGAATTCTTAACTTTTGAATCAAGAGTAAGCAAAAGACAGGAGAATTGAAGTTGCAGAGAAAAGAGGGTCATCTGCTGAGATGGAAGGACTAGGGAGAGGAGTTGGAGATTGGGTTCTCAAAGTAGGAAAGGTTTGTATGCAATTTGATTAAAATAAAAATGTATGAAAGGATGCTTCTGTATTGAGGGTCCATCAGGTTGGTCAGCATTATTTGTGAGGCTTTGATTAATTATAGTTGATTGATGTGAGAGAGACTCGAGAAGAAACAGCTGCAGGTAATTGGGGCTATCCAAGGCTGATAATTTGCAAGAAAGACAAAAGGTTGAATGGAAGGACTAGTTTTAAATGCAGTGGTGAAATGATTGATCATAGATCTAGGGATGTAAAACGAAGCCAAGAAAACGGGTGATAGATGACGAACATGAGAGGAGTGGACACGGGGGTGGGTGGGTGGGTGGGTGGGGAGTATATTCCGTGACCAGAAAGGGACCATGCTTTCTATATGTACTCTGTGTGTGTGTAAATACGGGAAACAGAAACTCCTTACGCAGAGCAGGACATGACAGCATTTAAATGTCTACCCACATTATTTTTCTAAGGCGCTCTGGTAGCGTAGTGGTTACAAATCAGGTTGCGAACTGCAAGGTCAGCAGTTCGAAACTACCAGTGGTTCTGCAGGAGAAAGATGAGGCTTTCTGTCCCTTAAAGATTTACAGCCTCGGAAACCCTGTACAGGATCACGATGAGTCAGAACCGACTCCACGACACACAGCCACCACCACATTTATTTTTCTAGAACCCTTCATTGGTTTCTCAATTTCGTGTCTTTGATGCCTTTGTTATGATTATTAAGAAAAATTTTCATCATTCTTCTGGAATAATCAATTTACAATTTTGATCTTCAATGATTCAGTGATAATCCACTAACAGCCAACAGAGAAGTACTTGGCAGTGCAGGTTATAATTCATCTACTTCTTAAAGTAATTCTGTGAGGAAATTGGAGTGCTGGGAGCTTAGATAACGTGCTCAGAGTGTAAATTGTCAGGAATGTGTAGAGTCAGGAATGGGATTTAAATCTTGGCAATTTGATTCTGGAGTCCATGTTCTTAACCACTATTATTTATAGTCTCTCCAGAAACCTATAAAGTTCTCTCTATGTCATACACGGTTCTAAACACTTTATATATCATCTCATTTAATCCTCAATGCAACCCAGAAATACACAGTGTTCCCATTTTGCTGATGATAGAAAGAGGCACAGTAAGATTAAGTAAAAGGACAAACAGTGACTAGTAGAGTGAGATTCAAACCCAGAGCCACTGTGTTTAACTGCTATGCCTGTGTACCCTTCAGCTTGGTCTGTGTCTGCTTCATATATTGTGTTTCATACATATGAGGTCAGGTTTATTTGTACCTGAAGGAATGCCAGTTAATTTACTTAAAAAGTTTAGTATTTTAAGTTTATGACATCAGTAATAACATCCATTTATAATACTATTAGCAATAAAAGCAATAAGTAGAAATAATATTTATTTTAACAGTTCACTGTTTTGCTGTATGTGCTTAATTAGTAAACCTTTTATTGTATCTGTTTAAAATGGGAATATACAACTACTGGAACAACTGTTTCCATTTTAGAATTATTTCAGTGCTCTGATATTGAAAAATTATTTTTGTTTTTATAGCATGAAGAGTTAATGTTGGGAGATCCCTGCCTTAAAGATTTGAAGAAAGGGGATATAATACAACTCCAGAGAAGAGGATTCTTCATATGTGATCAACCTTATGAACCTGTTAGGTAAATAAATATGACTGAGTAGCCAAATGAAAATGGTTTTATTATAGTGAGTAATATTTTAAAAATTGAACTCTGCCATTCAGTTTAATTTTTTAAAATTTAATATGCAGACTTTAATTTTCTTTATCATATTGTAGATATTGATTCAAATATCTTGTTATTGTTGTTGTTAGGTGCTATTGAGTCATTTGCAACTCATAATGAACGCTGTATAGGGTTTCTGAAGCTGTAAATCTTTTCAGGAGCAGAGAGCTTCATCTTTCTCCTATAGAGCAGCTGGTAAACTTAAGTCGCCAACCTTGTGGTTAGCAGTCTAGTGCTTATCTGATTGCATTGCCACAACGTTCACATCTGACATCCTTTAACCAGTATAATATATTCGCTCCTCATGATAAGCATTGGACTGTGAACCACAAAGTTGGAAGTTTGAGCCCACCAACTACTCTTGAGAGAAAGCAGAAAGCTTTCTGTTCCCTAGAAACCCTACACAGGGTCACTATAAGGCAGAACTAATGCCATGGCACTTAACAAGAGCAATTTAAGAGCTTAACACGGCACTAATGCCCAGGATATAACGGAGTACTGGTAGCATATAGTGGATTATGAGCTGGGCTGTGAAGTGCAAGGTTAGCACTTTGAATCTACAAGTAGCTCTTCGGGAGAAAGATGAGGCTTTCTGCTCCCTTAAAGATTTACAGCTTTAGTCACTATAAGTGGGACCTGACTCAGTGATAGACAACCACCAGCAGCACCACCACATTTCCTCTCTGGTGGCTGAAACAGTTTTGAGACTAATCTCATTGATTTTCGTTTATCCTTTTTAACTAACATTTTTCATATTGCCACCAGTTTGAAATTTTAAAAATGCCAATATTAGCCCATTTCTTTTCTACTTGAAAACTTATGTGAGCTTCAGTGTACACTCTTATAAACTGTTGACACACAGGTTCTTCACATTATGTGTTTGAACCTTTGTGCCTTTTCTTGGAATAGCCTGTTCCTTTTTTTTCTTTTCCACCTGTGTGACCTTTCAAATGATACATCCTTCAGAAAGCCTTCATGTATGTGTCCCTACAGCCTGGGTAGGTGCTTTCGTAGCACCTGGCACCTTCCTTTATTAGAATATATGTCACATGTTACTGAAATTGTTTAATTTGTTTTCTCCACCACTAGAATTTAAGATCAGGCAGATATTTTCTTCTTATTCACCTCAGTATTCCAGTGCCTTTAGCCAAGTCAGATGATGCATGTAAAGGATGCAGTATCAGTTTTGACTCATAGCAACCCTACATAGGGTTTCCAAGGAGAAGCTGGTGGGTTTGAACCTTTGACCTGATGGTTCACAGTCCAGTGCTTATACTGCAGCACCACACCGTTCAGTAGGTAAATACGGTGGTGGTGGTAAACAGAATTGTTGTTATTGTTATGTGCCATCGAGTCAGTACTGACTCATAGCGACCATATGGACAACAGAACAAAACATTGGCCAATCCTGGGCCAACCTCACAATTGTTGCCACGCTTGAGCCCATTGATGCTGCCACTTTGCCAATCCATCTCACTGAGGGTCTTCTTTTTCTCTGACCCTCCACCCTGCCAAACAGAATATCCTTCTCCAGACTGGTCCCTTCTAACAATATGTCTGAACTATGAGAGACGAAGTTTGGCCATCCTGGCCTCCAAGGACCACTCTGACTGCACTTCTTCCAACACAGATCTGTTGGTTCTTTTGGCAGCGCATGGCACTTTCAATATTCTCCTCCAACACCATAACTCAAAAGCATCAATTCTTCTGTGGTCTTCCTTATTCACTGTCCAGCTTTTGCATGCATATGAGGTTATTGAAAATACCATGGCTTGGGTCAGGTACACCTTAGTCTTCAAGCTGACATCTTTGTTCTTCAGCATTTTAAAAAGGTCTTGTGCAGTAGATTTGCCTAATGCAATACGTCATTTGATTTCTTGACTGCTGCTCCCATGAATGTTAATAGTTGATCCAAGAAGAATGAAGTCCTTGACAACTTGACTCTTTTCTCTGTTGATAAGAATGTTGTTTATTGGTCCAGTGGTGAGGATTTTTGTTTTCTTTACATTGAGATGTAATCCATACCAAAGGCTGTGTTCTTTGATCTTTATCAGTAAATATTTTAAGTCTTCTTCACTTTCAGCAAGCAAGGTTGTATCGCAGGTTGTTAATGAGTCTTCCTTGAATCCGGATGCCATGTTTTTCTTCATAGAACTCAGCTTCTCGGATTATTTGCTCAGCATACAGGTTGAATACGTATGGTGAAAGAAAACAACCCTGTTGTACACCTTTCCCAATTTTAAACAGTGTTCCCGTGTTCTGTTCGAAAAACTGTCTCTTGGTCCAGGTACAGATTCCTCATGAGCACAATTAAGTGTTCTGGAATACTCATACTTTGCAATGTTACCCAGAGCTTGTCATGATCCGAATAATCTAAAGCTTTTGCATAGTCAATTAAGCACAGGTAAACATCTTTCTGGTAGTCTCTGCTTTCAGCCAAAATCCATTGGACATTAACAGTGATATCCCTCGTTCCATGACCTCTTTTGAATCCAGCTTGAACCTCTGGAAGTTCTCTGTCAATGTATGCTTGCTGCCCATTCTGGATTACCTTTAGTAAAACTTTACTCGCATGGGATATCAAAGATACTGTCCGATGATTTCCGCATTCTGTTGGGTCACCTCTCTTTGGGATGGGCACAAATATGGATCTCTTCCAATCATTCGGCCAGATAGCTGTCTTCCAAATTTCTTGGCATAGATGAGTGAGTGCCTCCTGTACCACCTCACTTTCTTGAAAGATTTCAATTTTTATTCCATCAATTCCTGGTGCGTTGTTCTTTTCCAATTCCTTCAATGCACCTTGGACTTCTTCCTTCAGTATCATTTGCTGTTGATTATATGCTATCTCTTGAAACGGTTGAACATCAACTGTTTCCTTTTGATACAGTGACTGTGTATTCCTTCCATCTTTGATGCTTTCTGCATCATTCAGTAATTTGCCCAGAGAAGCCTTCAGTAACAAAAGTTGAGGCTTGAATTTTTTCTTCAGTTCCCACAGCTTGAGAAATGCTGAGCATGTTCTTCCTTTTGGGTTTTCTGACTCCACATCTTTGCACATTTTATTATAATATTTGATTTTATCTTCTCGAGCTGACCTTTGAAATTTTCTGTTCAGCTCTTGGACCTCCTCATTTCTTCCATTTGTTTTAACATCTCTATGTTGGAGAACAAGTTTCAGTGTCTCTTCTAACATTCATTTTGATCTTTTCCTTTTTGTCTTCTTAATGACTTTTTGCTGTTTTCATGTATGATGTTCTTAATGTCATCCCACAACTCTTCTGGTCTTCTGTTTTTAGTGTTTACTGTATCAAATCTGTTCTTCAGATGATCTCTAAATTCAGGTAGGATTATTCAAGGCCATATTTTGGCTCTTGTGGACTTGTTTTCATTTTCTTCAGCTTTAGTTTGAATTTGTATATGAGTGATAGCTGGTCTGTTCCATAGTCTGCCCCTGGCCTTGTTTTGACTGATGATACGGAGCTTTTCCATCTTCTCTTTCTACAGATGTAGTCAGTTTGATTTCTGTGTATTCCATCTGGCAAGGTCCATGTGTGTAAGGCATCCTCTATGCTGTCTAAAGAAGGTATTTGAAATGAACAAATCATTGGTTTTGCAGAATTCTATCCATGAGTTCTCCAGCATCATTTCTGTCACTAAGGCCATATTTTCCAACTACTGATCCTGCCTCTTTGCTCCCAACCTTTGCATTCCAATCACCAGTAATGATCAGTACATCTTGATTGCATGTTTGATCAATTTCACATTGAAGAAGTTGGTAGAATTCTTCTATGTCATCCTCACTGGCTTTAGTGGTTGGTGCATAAATTTGAATAATAGTGATATTAACTGGTCTTCCCTGTAGGCAGCATGGATATTATCCTATCACAGAGAGCTTTGTATTTCATGACTGATCTGGAGATGTTCTTTTTGATGATGAATGCAGCACCATTCCTCTTCAATTTGTCTTTCCTGGCAGAGTAAACCCTGTGGTTGTCAGATTCAAAATGGCCAATACTAGTCCATTTCAGCTCACTAATGCCTAAGATATCGATGTTTATGCATTTTGTTTTGTTTTGTTTGACAGTTTCTAATTTTCCTAGAGTCATACTTCGTACATTCCATGTTCCGATTATTAATGGATGTTTACAGCTGTTTCTCTTCATTTTGAGTTTTACCCCATCAGCAAATGAAGGTCCCAAGGGCTTTACTCCCACAGGCTTTATTCCATTTGCATCATCATGGTCAACTCTACTTTGAGGAGGCAGCTCTTCCCCAATTGAATTTTGAGTGCCTTGCAACCTGAGGGGCTCATTTTCTGGCACTATATCTGACAGTGTTTCTCTGCTATTCAAAGGTTTTCAGTGACTAATTATTCGAAGTAGTCTGTCACTCCTTCTTCTTAGTCTGTCTTCGTCTGGAAGCTCATCTGAAACCTGTCCACCATGGGTACCCTGCTGGTATTTAAAATACCGATGGCGTAGCTTCTGGAATCACAGCAAGCAACTCACAAGCCACCACAGTATGACAAACTGACAAATGTGTGGTGGAAAAAACAGCGTAGGTTCCCAAATTACTAAAACCAAAACAAAAAAGCTGAAATTTTCAACTAACGAGCCTTAGGTAACTCAATATTCATATGCAAAAGAGTGAAGTTCCTCTTTGTCCTTTTAATTTTTATTTCATAGTGTTTACGACAGTATTTGCAGAAATCCTTATGAATGATGTGAGAGGTAGTAGATTATGCTAGTTACTATACCCTTTAGAATTGAGAAATCCCTATAAAATCACTGTTTATCAGAAATTCTTCTGCTTGTAAGCATACTGAGTAACCTTGATGGTCTGGTGGTTCAGTACTTGGCTACAGACTGAAAGGTTGGATGGTGTTTGAACCCATCAGCTGCTCATTGGGAGAGAGATGTGAATGTCTTACTCTGTAAAGATTTCCACCCAAAACCCCCAAACCTGTTGATGTCAAATTAGAGCAGACTGCCACATCTCTCTCCTTTGGAGTGACTGGTGGGTTTAAGCTGCTGGCGTTTAGGTTAGCAGTTGAGCATGTAGCCATTATATCATCAGGGTCTTTTATGTAAAGATGGTTGCTGTTAAGTGCTGTTGAGTCGATTCCAACTCATAGTGACCCAGTATAGGGTTTGCAAGGAGCGGCTCATGGGTTTTCACTGCTGATCTGCGGTCTAGTGCTTTATGCCATAGTGCCACATTCTGTGGTACACTTCTCTGCTGTCCTTAAAGTTCCTGTGAGTTATAATCCATTGGATGGCACGCAGCAGTAACAACATAAGCAGATAGGTGTGGTTTGTACTTCTATAGCGATAGCGTTGTTGTTTTTAAGTGCCGCCAAGTCAGTTCCAACCCATAGTGACCCTGTATAGGGTTTCCATGGTTCAAACTGACATTGCAGTCCAGCGCATTGTCCTGCAGCACTACATGAGGACTCTTGTTGTTGTTAGTTGCCATCTAGTTGATCCCAACTCATCATAATCCCATGTATTATAGAGTAGAACTGCTCTGTAGGCTTTCCAAAGCGCTGGGACCTTTTGGAAGCAGATCGCCTGGTCCATCTTCCAAGCTGTCTATGAGTATATTCAAACAATCACCATTTTGGCTAGTAATCAAACACTTAGCCATTTGCGCGCCCTAGGTACTTGCAGCCCTGGTGTGATGCTGTGGGTTAATGCGCCAGACTGCAAAGCCGTTTGAACTGCAATGTCGGTGGTTCAAGCTCACCATCTGCTCCTTGGAAACCCTATACAGGGTCGCCATGGGTCGGAACCGACTCAATGGCACTTCACAACAACAACAACAGGGTACTTGCAGGGAGTGTTAGTATCCACTAATGCTCCTTAGAAACTTTGTGCAGGGTTACTATGAGCCAGAACCAACTCTTGACAGCACTTAACAAAAGCGGTGCCATTTTTGGTTGTAATAAGAATAGATGCACCATTGCCCTGGGGTTAAATGTGTGTGTCTATGGAAGTTTGTAATTGAAGGCCTGTCAGTTTTTATTTATGTGTTTATTATTTGTAACTACTTTGTAAAATCTCTGATTTGAGAAGCAACAATAAGCGATTTACTTATTCATTAATAATAATAGTAGTTGACTTTTTGTTTTAATGCTTGAAAATCATTAACTGAGTACCATCGACTTCATTTTCACTTGCTGTTTAGATGATTTTGTGATTTTGTTAAAAATTTATTTTTAAACTCATTTAAATTTTTTTAGTCCATACAGTTGCAGAGATGCCCCATGTGTTTTAATATACATTCCTGATGGACATACAAAGGAAATGCCAACATCTGGGTCAAAGGAAAAGACCAAAGTAGAAACAGCAAAAAATGAGGTAAATATAAACTTTGACAGAAGTTATTTTAACAAGTGATTTTTTTGGTCTTACTTGATTTTCTATTTTTCTTTTTTTCCTTACATTCATTCTATCGTATATTGTCGTCATCATCTCTGGCTCCATTTCAGGCATCACTGCTTCTCTGGGTAGGGTCCCGCTCTCTGCTCTTCTCCCTTGATGGTCCTAGGGACCTCCGCTCTTAGACTGAAAAGTTAATCACTTCCCTCCTTGCTATAAAATGTCTACCTTTACATTTCCAACCCTCACAATCAGTCCTGATAACAATTATTCGCTATTGTATCACAAGAGACCCGTCTGCATTTCATTGCATCAGCCCCGCCTAGTCAGGTTGACTACTACTCACTGGAGAGTCTACCTTCCTCCAGGCCCTCTGGATCTAGGTTCCCTCTTGAAAGCTTGTAAGCCAGTCACTTCTTGCCTTTGTAGCCTCCTGCCCTCCATTTTGGGTAGCCAATGTCCAAGTTGCCCATCCCTGTCTACTCTGTGTGTGGAGGGGGTGGGAATGATTCTTGCTGTAAGGACTTGTTCCCTTTTTTGAGCTACTGCTTCCATAGGTGTAGGTCAAGTTCATCAAATTATATCCTATTACTCTTTTTTTCCTCTTCTTTGTTCTTCTAGTTGAGCTCTGATCATCCAGTCATTGAAGCCAGGTCAAGTGGGTATTATCTTCAAGTGTGGGTGTTCTTATGCATATGCCCACTCTTCTTATCAGTTGGACACTTCACTCTCCACTCTAGTCCTCTCTGGCTATGTCACTGACTCTGGGCCCAAGAGTCCCCAGGTCTTGCCACACTGCTGGCCAACCAGGTCTTCACCCGGGTTCACAGAAGTCTATTGAACATTGTAGGGCTTAGCTCACCGCTTCATTGCTGTTTTTCCCTCACTTCCCCTTATTGGTGTCGAGTGTGGTCACCAGTCACAGCATGTGTACCCACTGAGTCTTAGTCTTGGAAGGGGGTTTGCACTGAGGGGACCCAACCACTTGCCTTGATGTTTCCTGGACCTTACTTGATTTTTTCTACAACGAGTTGTCTTTTTACTGTTGTGACCCCAGAGTATATAAGAACTCTTAGACCTTTTGTTTTGTTTTATTTTTTATTCTATTCATGTAAGACTAACATCTTGCAAAACAAGATTTGTGCAAATTAATCTTATTGTTAGTATGTCAAAAAATAAGAAAGACTAGATTAAAAGTTTTTTGACCACTTATTTTTTGCCCCCTTCCTAGCACTACGAAGAAGTTTCCTTTTAATTGCCATGGTGGTTTTATTCAGCGAAGAGCATTGGCGTAGTGAGGTGAAGGTGCATATTGAGGATCATCTAACCTGCCTTGCATTTCATTGATGACAAAACTTTGTTCAAAATGCAAAACTTGTTATTGACAGAGCAGTGCTTTGAGCTAGTTGCCTCCTTCTCTGAGACCCCAGTGCCTGATGCAGAGGGGCTCCTGAGGTTTAGGATTTCTGAGCTTCAGAAAAGAGAAAAATGATGGAATCTGTTGCAGTGGGTGATGGGCAGTTGCTTTAGTTGACTTTTAAAAAGTTAATACAGACATCCAATTTTAATCTTGGAGGTAATGGTTAATCTCTGTTTTAAAGAATGAGTTTGGAATTGTAGGTGGGACAACATCTTCTGTCGTTGGAAGACTGGGTGTGGATTTAAGAGGTGGTGATCAGCAAGTTTAGAGAAATAGGCAAGTGGTTTGCTTTGTCGGTCAGAGGTCTTTAAGCTTTCTTAGTTCATACACCCGTAGTTTCTCAGAAGTTTTAAAGGTAACACTAGTTTAGAAGAAATCACTGATTATTCTGTTTAGTAAGAAGTTAAGTCTGTACAACTAAGTAAATGTTTATGTCCTGGCAACTTCGTAAGAAGAGTTGGTGGTGCTGTGAGTTTAGCATTGGGCTACTAACCATAAGATCGGTGCTTCAAACTCACCAGCTGCTCCATTGGGGAAAGATGAGGCCGTCTGTTCCCATAAAGCTGTATAGACTTGGAAACCCAAAGCAACAGGTCTGCTCTGTCTGCTGGGGTCACTATGAGTAAGGATTATTCCATGGCAGTGGTTTGGTTTCAACAACTCTGTAGCCATTTGAAAAATTGTTGTTGCTGTGGGCCTTAGAGTCAATTGTAACTTACAGCTAGCATGTGTGATGGAGTAGAGCTGCCCCTTAGTGTCCTCGATCCTAGGCTATGGTTTTTATGGAAACAGATCAGCAGATCTTTATCCAACAGAACTACTGGTAGATTTGAATCACTGACCTTTTCAGTTAGCACCCAAGTGCTTAACCATTGATAGAAAAAAATTTTACATTTCATTCATTTTTTTTATCAAGAAAACATTTAAAAATTTTTGGCAACATTGTTGCTGAGTTGGTTTCACTTATGGCAACCCTGTATACAGAGGAGCAGCTGGTGGGTTTGAACTACCACCCTTGTGGATTGTGGTTCACAATCCAATGCTTATCCTACAGCACCATACCAGGAGTCCCTGACAATGTTAATCTCATATGTTTGTTCATCTCGTATCTTTTGTGGTTGATTAATTTCAGTCAGCATAATGTTCTCTAGGTTCATCCATGCTGTCAGATGTGTGACAGATTCATCATTATTCTTCAGCAATTTGTAGTATTCCATTGTGTGTATGTACCAAAGTTTGTTTAACCATTCTGTTGATGGGCATTTAGGTTGTCTTCATCTTTTTGGTATGTCCCTTGTAGACAGCATATTGAAGGATCCTGTTTTCTTGTCCATTCTGCTGTCTCTGTCTCTTGTTGGTGTATTTAATCCATTTACATTCAGTGTATTTCTCAATAGCTATGAATTGATTGTGTGTGTGTGTGGTGCTGTTGGATTCTTTGTTCCACGTAATTTTCTATGCTGAGTTCATCTTGTTTGTGGGTTTTGTTTTCATTTTCATTTCTTTTGTGTACCGTTTATTAAATCTTTCTGATTTCCCTCTTTTTAAAATTTTGATGTGCCGGTGCATTGTTTTTCTTTAGGTTGCTTTGTAATTTATCAGTCTTTTCCCTGCTTCAAACAGTGTGATTTCTCTTGAAATCTACCTGACTTTCTTGCCATTTGGAAGTTCTTTATCTACCCATTCCTTCTTTTTGCTTTGAAGGTGACTCCATTGTATGTTGATCTCTCTGGTTCCCTGTTTTCCGTCTTGTAGGTTTGTTTTACTGTAAATACTTTGTATATCTGGGTTGGGAGTTCTGGTGTCATGCTGCAGGATAAGGACTAGACCACAAGGTTGGCTTGAACTGCAAGGTTGGCAGTTCAAACTCACCAGCAATTCCTTGGAAATCCTTTTGTTATTATTGTTAAATGCCTTTGAGTTGCTTCCCACTTTACACCAGGACCCTATACAGGGTCACTATGACTCAGTACCAACTCAGTGGCACTTAAGAACAGTAACAACAACAACATCTGGATTGGATTGAGTTTTGGGTGTTGTTGTCATATATGGTAATCTCAGGTTATTGTCTGCTGTTGTTGGTTCTCAGTCCAAAGAACACCCTTTAGCATTTTTGGTGAAATTTATCTGGTCATTACAAATTCCTTTAATTGCTTTTTATCAGGAGATACCCTAATTTTGCTGTCGTATTTAAGGGACAGCTCCTTATTGAAATAACGAACACGTAAACGGATAGAAAAAAGTATTTTACATTTCATTCTTGAAATACATTATTTTTTTATGAAGCACTAAGTATTTTTATTTTGGAGGCAGTGGTGGTTCCATGGTAGATTTCTCACCTGCCTTACACGGTGACCTATGCCTGTCAAGTACAGCCAGCCCTTGTCTGTCAGTGGAGGCTTGCGTGCGGTTATGATGCTAACAACTCTCCTAGACTAAGAAGGACTGTTGAAGAAAGACCTGGCGCTCTACTTCCAAAACCCAGCCAGGGAAAAGCCAATAGATCACAAGGGTCTGACCCCATTTTTCATGGGGTCACCAAGAGTTGGGAGCTGACTTGATGGCAGGTAACACAAACAGACTTTCATTTCTCATCCCCAAACAATTAAAAATACAAAAAGAAAGGTTACTGAAGAGAAGACATTGTCCATAAACAGAGCTAAACATTTATGAGTAAATGATACAGACATGGGTACCAAAACAGTCCAACTGGGAAAGGCTTGTTAGCAACTTGAGATGAAACAATAAAACAGGCCTTTAAAGGTGTTAGAGCCCTGTCTAGTGATCATCGACTAAGTGTTTTCAGTGTGTGTGACTCTCCATGGTCTTGTCAGTAATCCAGAATCACACATCAGGCTCCTGAAAGGGCTCACTCTGCCTCTTCCACCGCTTCCATTCCAGTATTATTATTCATAATGTTACACTTCTGATTACCGTGATGAATCACCCAAATTATGAAAATTCCATTCTGTTCCTATTCTGCTTTATTGCCATGGCAGAATTGGTTTGAAGCCCTGCATTAGAGGACAATTAGATGTTTTTAATATATTGGATGTCCAGATTCTGGGGGATCTGCCTGTACATGCTGAATTCAGAACCTAAATCGTGTATAACTTGCAACTCTGATATAGTTTGAGGTGCCTCTTAGCTATCCAAGTAAAAATGTCTTGAAGTTGAGGACAGAGTTTGAGGTCTTGGTGGTGGTTATTTGCCACTGAGTCAGTTCCAATTCATAGTTATCCTGTATAGAGTTTCCAAGGCTGTAAATGTTTACAGGTACAGAAAACCTCATCTTTCTCCACAGGAGTGATTGGTAGATTTCAACTGCTGACCTTGTGGTTAGCAGCCCAACTGATAATACATTATGCTACCAGGGCAATTCTGATAGAGTTTGAGGTGCCTCCTAGCTTTCTAAATAAAGATGTCTTAAAGATGATTCATAATACTGAATCTAAGCTCAGGACAGAGCAGATGAGAAATTTGGGGGGTTAATAAACATGACTGCATGAATGTAGATAAGAGTATTCTGCAAGATTAAGTGGAAGATCCTTTTTTTAGAAAAATTGTGGGGGAGGCAGGATGGGAAGTGGCCGTATTTTAAAGTTGGGAGGGGAGAAAGCATTCTAGGCAAAGGGAGCAGCATGTAGAAAATTTTGATATTGAGAACAAAAGTGCAATGCTTAGTCACTCATCAGTGGTCATTTTAGTGAGCATATCTCTAGATTTGTTGCCATACTTAGACACGCACATGCTACAAATGTCCAGTGTTACATAAATATGAACTTATTACATGGTAAAAAATTTTAATTCTTACCTTATTAGCAATCTTGATATAGCTTATTAAAAATACTGTTAGGGTACCTGATGGTTACTTTTCTCCTTATTACTAAGGACTTTACACAATTTTAGTGCCTCTTATTTTTCTGTCAACATGATCATTAAATATGATTATCACTATTTTACAGTGAAGAAACAGGGTTGCTCAGGTACTGTATTGTGGAGCAGTGATTTATTCTCAGAGCCGAGAATAAATCATAAAGCATTCCCATATTAATATGAAATCTCATAAATGCAATCATAAAGCAATCCCATATTAATATGAAATCTCATAAAATGATCAGTTTGCTATAATTTTTTAAAAGGGAGTATTGCATGAATTGATTCTCTGACTTTTGGTTTTCTGCTTCTATAGACAACTCCAAATAAGGAAAAGTCAGCACCATCTCTGAATAATACCTGTGCAACACCTGAGGATTCGTTGGTCCTTTACAACAGAGTGGCTGTTCAAGGGGACGTGGTCCGTGAATTAAAAGCCAAGAAAGCCTCAAAAGAGGATATAGATGCAGCTGTAAAACAGCTTTTGGCTTTGAAGGCTGAATATAAGGAGAAAACTGGCCAGGAATATAAACCTGGAAACCCCCCGGCTGCAGTCGTACAGAATATTTCTTCTAAATCTTCAGAAAGTATTCTGGACAGTAAATCTCTTTATGATGAAGTTGCTGCACAAGGGGAGGTGGTTCGTAAACTGAAAGCTGAGAAAGCTCCAAAGGTAAGTACGTTGGAATAAGTTAAGGTAGCATTGTAAGTGACTATATGAATTCAAACTGCTTAGAGTAGTCAGTGTTTTTATAAAACATTGCATACAGATAGTCTGCTCAAATGTTGTGAGCAATTACTGAGCCCTGCCACGTGCCAAGCCCTGGAATATAGAGAAGTAACTCAGTCTAGTATAGATAGAGGCCAAGGAGAAACTACAGACTGAGTAACTTGTCACATTCTGTGATGTGTGTCAGTTACTGTAAGAACCTGGAAGTGTTTGTGATCAGAACTGACTGATAGGAAAGGAGGAAGCAATTCATAAAGGGTATGGAAACTCATCCTGAAGTAAAAGAAGCCCTTTACTGGTGAATGGTTCAGAGGAAGCATTCTATATGTAGAACCTTGATCCTCCAAGCATTCTTGTGCATCAGAATTCCTGAGGGGCATGCTAAATAAGTCACAGATGGCGGGGCCCCACCTCTGAGTTTGTTGCTTCAGTAAGTCAGGAGTGAGACCCAAGCATTTTCATGTCTCAACAAGTTTTCTAGGTCATGTTGATGCTGCTGGTCTGGGGAGCACACTTTGAGAACCACTGGTGTAGAAGATTGTTGTTTGCTGCACCAGTAAAAGAAGAAAAGAATAATTTTTCTTCTTTATTCAGAGAATAATGGGATGTCGTGAACTTTTTGGCCAGTGATTAAAGCATTATCTCCTACTTTTCACGTGAACTTGCAAACGCCACCAAATTTTGACTGCAGTATAGGTGTCACTTGTTTACTGATATCTTTAGTCAAACATTGAGTCGGTTAGTGTGGAGCGGGATTACTTACTAAGTAAGGAAGCAAATGGAATGGCCTCTGTGATAGAGATTGTGTCTAATAATGAAAATAAATATTTCTGTCAAACAGAGGCACAACTCAAAAACATGATCGCATACATAATGCTGTAACTGGATATGATTCAGCCTCTGATGGGCTGCCATACATTGTAGTTTCTGGGCTGTGGCATGAATACAGAAATATGGTGTCTCTGACTTGATTTATGTGGCTTAGGGGATTTGAAAAATTCTCAAAGGGGATCTGTTGTCTGGTCAGTGTCCTGGGCTTAGGTGGGAGACTGAACAATGTGAGGTTACAAATTCTGTACATCAATTCCAAATTGGAAGGCATCTGGCTAGAAATCCTGTCACGTGAAACATTTTCATTCGGGAACGTTTGACCTCTGCTGAGGAAGGAAAATGATTTGGGATATCACAGGTTTTTGCTCCAGGTGTTGATTTAACAACTTAGTGCTTGAGTTTCGTCATGGTGAGCCTATTTACAGGAATACTCTGATGGCAAATAAAGGCTTTTAAATGATATTGAAATTATAAGAAATCAGCCATTAAATATTTGATCATTTATCTGTTTTTCTCTTTTATCTCAGGCTAAAGTGAATGAAGCTGTAGAATGCCTACTCTCTCTGAAAGCTCAGTATAAAGAAAAGACTGGAAAAGACTATGTACCCGGGCAGCCCCCCTTATCTCAAAATTCAGGTCCAGCAACCAGAAACTCTGAACCTACTGGGCCCCAAACACCGGAAGCCAAAATACTTTTTGACAAAGTAGCTTTTCAAGGAGACGTAGTTCGAAAACTGAAAGCTGAAAAAGCCTCTAAGGTTAGTGTGGTATTTTGTATATGTATTTTAAGTTTTTTATGTGACAGACTTTCTTCTTTGCTAAGGACAGTCTTTGACTAATCAAATATGGTTCATATTACAAAGAAACGGTAGTTGATCCTGTCTTGTCTCAACTAGATTTGGCTGGATGTTCTCACGTGACACGTCCCTTCCCCTGATACAACACTTAAACATATAAAACTTAAAGTTGTCTGTTTCTCTCCCATCTGTAAGGTCCCTAAGAGTAGGGTCCTGGCCCAATCACAGTGGTTGGCACATGGTAAGCTCCAGTGTGTACTTGTTGTTGGAATAATGCTCCTAATCCTGTTAATTGCCAGGGACAGACTTTATTTTGAGCTCTGGTGTAGTTTGTGCTAGTTTTGTTGCCTTTATAGGAGCAGGAATTTTTTGTACTGATTCATATGAGTGGAAGCAATATGTTGTCCTTTACTGCTGTGGTTAGCAGCAGTCAAGTTGGCTCTGACTAATGGCAACCCTGTGTACAGCAGAACAGATGGTGCCCAGTCCTGTGCCGTCTTCAGTCAGTGAGGCCAGTCAGGCAGCATTGTCTTCTGATCTACAGAGCATTAATTGGCCAGTGTTTGGAAGTAGATCTATCACCAGCCCTTCTTTTCTAGTCTGAAAGCTCTGATGAAACCTGTCCATCATGGTTGACCCTACTGGTATTTGAAATACTGATAGCATTACTTCCAGTATCAGCAACATACAAACCACCACAGATGACAAACTAAAAAAAGACCCAAGTTTTAAATTTAATCTGCTATTTAATGATGTAGTGGGTTATGTACTGAGCTGCTAACGAGGTCAGTTTTACCAGCTGATCCGAGGAAATCCTATCCAGGATTGCTATGAGTTGTCACACAGCAATAACAATATAGAAACAGCACACAACAGCAGCAATATAGAAGCTTGATTGCTGTCATGTTTATAATTGTGAAATGATCAGTTTATGTAATTTAATGCTCTTAACTGAGATTCCCATAGAACGCACGTTACAGATCAGTGCTGTCCAAGATTCCCATAGAACACAATTTATGGGCCAGTGCTAGCCAATGGATCTTTTTTTGGTAATGAAAATGCCCTTATGACTGCACTGGTCAAAATAGTAGTCATTAACCAGGTGTGACTATTAAGTACTTGAAATTTGACTATTGTGACTAAAGAACTGTATTTTGAGTTTTATTTACTTTTAATTAATTTGAAATTAGCATGTACATACACACACACACACATACGTACGAGACAAAAAGAAGCTGAGCTATGCATGTTTACTTCCTCTTCCTAAACTTGTTAAGTGCTATCCAGTTGGTTCTGACTCATATCAACCCTGTGTAGGGTTTCCAAGAAGCAGCTGGTGTGCTTGAACCACCAACCTTGTGGTTCAAATCACCTGCATGGTCCAGGGCTGTATCCTACAGTGCCACAACAGTGTTTGAACGAATGTAGCAAGCTAATTTTTATGTTGATAATTTTGTATGACTCGAATGATGTTAGGAATATCCAAATGGCTCTTGGCAGAAAAACGTTTCTCACCTCTATTTTAAGTACTGCATAATTGGATTACTATTTTCTAATCATTCTTTTGCACAATTCTGTACCTGATTATAATGTTGTTAGGTGCCATAGAGTCAATTCCAACTCATAGCAGTCATGTGCACAACAGAATGAAACACTGCTTGATCCTGCACCATCCTTACAATTATTGTCATGCTTGGACCCATTATTGCTGAAACTCTTGTCAGTCTATGTCATTGAGGGTCTTTGTCTGTTTCACTGACCTTCAGCGTTCCCAAGCATGATGATGTCCTTTTACAGAGACTGGTCCCCCTGAAGTATGAGAGATGAAGTGTCACCACCTTGGCTTCTAAGAAGCATTCTGGCTGTACTTCTTCCACACAGATCTGTTTGTTCTTCTGGCAGTGCCTGGTACTTTTCAGTGTTCTTCTCCAACACCATTAACTCAAATGTATCAGTTCTCGCTGGTCTTTCTTATTCATTGTCAAACTTTCACATGCATTGAAAATACTAAGGCTTGGCTCAGGTGCACCTTAGTCCTCAAACTGGTATTTTGGCTCTTTAACATTTTAAAGAGGTCTTTTGCCGCAGATTTGCTTAATACAATATGTTGTTTGATTTCTTAACTGCTCTTTCCATAAACTTTGATTGTGTATCCACGTCTTTTCTTCATCTGTCATGATGTTATCTATTGGTCCAATTGTGAGGATTTTTGTTTTGTTTACGTTGAGGTGCAATCCATACTGAAGGCTGTGTTTTTTGAGCTTCATTAGTAAATATTTTAGGTCTTCTTTGCTTCCAGCAAGCATGGCTGTAACATCTGCACATCTCATGATGTTAACTAGTCTTCCTCCAATCCTGATGCCTCGTTCTTCTGCATGTAATCTAGCTTCTTGGGTTATTTGCTTAGTATACAGATTGAATAAATATGTTGATAGAATGCAACCCTGGTACACACTTTTCTTGATTGAAACCATTCAGTGTCCCCTTGTTCTGTTCTAACAACTGCTTCTTGGTCTATGGACAGGTTCCTCATGAGCACCACTAAGTGTTCTGGAATACCCATTCTGTGTAGTGATATCCATAGTTTGTCACGATCCACACAGTCAAAAACTTTGCATAGTTAATAAAGCACAGGTAAACATCTTTCTGGTGTTTTCCACTTTTAGCCAAGATCCATCTGACATCAGCAGTGCTCTCTCTCATTCCACCACTTCTTCTGAATCCAACTTGAATTTCTGGTACTTCTTTGTTGATGCACTCTTGCAGCTGTGGTTTTTAGTTATATTGAGCAGAAATTTATTTACATGCAATATTAATAATATTGTTCAATGATTTTCACATTCTGTTGGGTCACCTCTCTTTGGAATGGGCACAATACAGATGTCTTCCAATTGGTTGGCCAGGTAGCTGTCTTCCAACTTTCTTGGCATAGGTGACTGAGTGCCTCCATTACTTCATCAGTTTGTTGAAAGATTTCAATTTGTTTTCCATCAATTCCTGGAACCTTGTTCTTTGCCAATGCCTTCAGTGCAGCTTGGACTTCTTCCTTAAGTACCATGAGTTCTTAGACATATGCTACCACTTGAAATGGTTGAACATCAACGATTTCTTTTGGTTTCCTAACTCCAGGTCTTTGCATATTTCATCATAATACTTTGGTCTTCTTGAGATGGCTTGTGAAATTTTTTGTTCAGTTTTTGACTTCTTCATTTCTTCCATTTGCTTTAGCATCTTTATGCTGGAGAGCAAGTTTCAGAGTCTCTTCTGAAATCTGCTTTGGTCTTTTCTTTCTTTCCTGTCTTCTTAATGAACTTTTGCTTTCTTCTTGTATGATGTTCTTGATCTTGTCCCACAGGTCTTCTGATCTTCCATCATTAGTGTCTAATGCATCAAATATGTTCTTCAGATGGTATTTGAATTCAGGTGGGATATACGCAAGGTCATATTTTGGCTCTCATGGACTTGTTTTTTTTCAGCTTCAATATGAACATACATATGAACAGTTGATGGGCTATTCCACAGTCAGGTCCTTATCTTGTTTTGGCTGATGATGTGGAGCTTTTCCACCATCTCTTCCCACAGATGTTGTCCATTTGATACCTGTGGGGTCCATGTGTATAGTCACCTTTTATGGTATTTTTAAAAAGGTATTTGCAACGAAGAAGTCATTGGACTTGCAAAATTCTATCATGCAATCTCTAGCATGTATTACCAAGGCCATATTTTACAACTACTGGATCCTTCCTCTTTGTTTCCACCCTTTGCATTCCAATCAACAGTTGTTATCAGTACTGGGCATGACTAAAATAGGAATACTCCATTGGCCCAGAAACTCTTCTCATTATCCCTCAGGAGTGTCAGCTGTCTCCACCCGACCCACCTCCAGCTGCCTCCTTTCCTGGGGATGAATTTAGCAGGCAGGGATGGTTGGATAGAATTCTTCAATTTCATCATCATTGGCTTTAGTGGTTGGCATAGAAATTTGAATAATAGTGATATTATCTGACATTCCTTATAGACACATTAATATTATCCTACCACAGACAGCATTGTACTTCAAGATAGATCTTGAAATGTTCTTTTGTCGATGAATGCAATGCTTTTCTTCAATGTATTGTTCCCAGTATAGTGAACCATATGATTGTCTGTTTCAGAACATCCAATACCAGTTCATTTCATCTTGCTAATGCCTAGGATATCAATCAATATATGTTCCATTTCTCTTTGACAACTTTCAGTTTTCCTAGATTCATACTTCATACATTCCATGTTCTTATTATTAATGGATGTTTACAGGTGTTTCTCATTTTTGTTGTGCCCTGTCAGCAAATGAAGGTCCTAAAAGCTTTATTGCATTTTCATCATTGTGGTCAACTGTACTTTGAGGAGGCAGCTCTAATCCAGATTATGTATTTTGAGTGCCTGTCAACCTGAAGAACTTAACATCTGCCACTGTATCTCATTATGTTCTAGTCATAAGATTGTCAGTGGCTTAACATTCAGAAGGAGTCTGCCTTTTCTTCCTATTTTGACATAGTCTGGAAGCTCCATGAAACCTGTGACATACTTCCAGCATCACAGCAACATGCAAGCCACCATAATACGACAAAACTGACAGACAAGTGGTAACTAGTTATCATAGTCTTTTCCTTATTTTCAACATTTGGTGTGTTAAACATTTCCCACTGTAACCTTGTAGTCTTCTGCCTTTAATTGTGTTTGGAGAACTTACAAAGCTTTGGACATTAAGTGTACTTTCACAGGGTTTTGAACTAAATACTTTCTTCTCTTTTTCCCTTTTGTTAAACTGAAGGATCAAGTAGATACAGCTGTACAAGATCTCCTTCAGCTGAAGGCACAGTACAAGTCTCTGACTGGAGTAGAGTACAAGCCTGTCTCTGCTACTGGACCTGAGGAGACAGATAAGAAGAAGAAAGAGAAAGAAAATAAATCTGAAAAGCAGAATAAACCCCAAAAACAAAGTGATGGTCAAAGGAAAGACTCTTCTAAAAGTCAAGGAAGTGGGCAGTCTTCAGGAGGGCCAGGAGAAGGGCAAGGACCTAAGAAACAGACCAGGTAATAAAACACAGAAACAATTTGAAGTGAAGTGAAACGTTTTCTATGAATTCAAGTCTAAATTATTTTTACGCGTTTTGTTAGTTTGGCCGTCACATTAAGTCTTGGATCATGCTAAAACTATTTTAGCAACTTTATTTTACTAATTTCCAATTCTCTTTAATTTTTTAAATAGGTAATTTATGTAGCTGCTTGTTTCAACAATCTCTGAATAGAAAAAGTTTTAGTGAGCTCTTCCTCATATCCGTTTCCCATCTTCCCAGTCCCCCTACCACCATCTCGAGCTGTTAATGACTATGATTAGCTTCTTCTTCCCTATCTGTTAAAAATTTTTCATTTCATTTTTACAGTACAAAGGTATCTGTTCCTTTCCCCCCTCACTTTTAACATGATTATTGACTAACCGTATGGCTGTTTTGCACCTTAAGATTTTTCAAATCAGAGTCTCTTGTGAAGAATTAAAATTGGTAGCTTAAATATAAAACAAAGCTAGATTAAAGACCAAATTAGAAGGTATTTCAGCATCTTTCAGTCTACATGAATAATGTAAATTCCTTTTTCTATCCCAACCCCCACATTGGAACAGGCTTTATTTAATGACTTTACTAGGGAATAAAGCCTGAGGTTCCTTAATCCCTCATTAATTGCTGTTTTAGCAACTATTTTGAGTTGGAGCCCTGGTGACACTGTAGGATAAGCACTGGACTGCTAACCACAAGGTTCAAACCCACCAGGGGCACCACGGGAGAACAATGAGGCTTTATGACCCCATAAGGATTAGCAGTCTTGGAAGCTATATATAGGGTTGCTGTTAGTTGGAACTGACTAGATGGCGGTTGCTTTAGTTTGCTTTTGAGGTAGAGTTTCTTGGTGTTGGAAATGTTAGCGAACATGACTGCTATTGATGAGGTGATTAGATTTATAGAGAGCAGAGAACCTCTCACCTTCAAAATACATGAGTAGTTTACAGGCCTAGAAAAAACATGTCCTATGTACACTGACTGCTTTTGAAAGGGCCAGCTCCAAATAGACATTTTGTTGAACTGTGTCACGGTGAAACAAAGGAGAGTAGCAATGCAGCATTTGTTAATATTGTCAACAATAAAGCCTTGTTGGTAAACGCCTGTAAAAACTAACTGATGGGTGAACTGTGCTTTGTGGATCCTAAGACCACGTATCCCTGGATAATTATTGTTTCAATAAAAGGGTTATTGTCTGGAATCATTTTGTATTGTAGATAAATGTGGTTTATTTTGGAAGCATTCGTGTTAATACACATGTGTGTGTTTGGATAGCCTTTGTTTTTATTAGTTTTACTTTTGTGAGATAACTAGTTTTAAGAAGAATAGTATTACTGGGACTGAGGTTGCCAAAAGACTCCTCTTTATATGTTTATTTTGTGTGTGGGAGAGAATACTACTTGACTAGTTCTGTTGTTATTGCAAATACATTATCTTAAAAAGAACTTTGTAAAAGAGATATCAGTATTAAAGTCATGTCTTTTGTTCTGTGTAACTTGCCTAGTTTTGGGGACAAGATCACATCACCGTACAGGTAGCAAAAGAGTCACATGAAATAGACATTAGTCTCTTTTGGACTTCAGAAATGTATTTTGATTCAACCTAAAAACAATTGCGAAATGAAGAGATTTATGCTTTATTTTAAATATCTGTAGGTTGGGTCTTGAGGCAAAAAAAGAAGAAAATCTTGCCGATTGGTATTCTCAAGTAAGTATATATTCAGTTGTTTATATACCTTAGAAAATTTTCAGTAATAATCTGTTCTTTGTTTAGGTTCTTAAGTACAAGAACAAAGTTTAAGTAATAACGTATAATGCCTTTAGTAGTAATCTTATAGTCATATGGCGTCCTGGTGTGGCACTGCAGGAACTCAAGGTCATTTTGAGCTACAAGGTTGGCGGTTCAAACACACCAGCCACTCCTCGGAAACCCTTTACTGGGTCGCTATGGGTCAGAGCCAACTCAACAGACCTTAAAACAACAACAACTTAGATATTTAATGCTTCACAATTTCCCCAGCGCATGTTTACATAACGTAGCAGTAACTCTAGTAGGTAGGCAGGACTTGATTTTTCTCTTATGATGAGGTAGAGGAATTACTGCAGCGTCAGAAAGACATTTAAATAGCGGAGGTAGGATTGGAATTCCAATCTTAAGTATATAGTCTGTTACATCCTGTTTCTCAGTATGGAAAGGTCCATTGTACACCATTAAGAAGTCTCCAGGTTTGAAGTTGATTATCGTACTCTTGCCATTTGTATCATACTTTTAGTTTAGTTAAAATATTTAAAGAATTAATGCTTTTGTTCTGTTTAAAAGGTCATCACTAAATCAGAAATGATTGAATACTACGATGTAAGTGGCTGCTATATTCTTCGTCCCTGGGCGTATTCCATTTGGGAATTCATCAAGGACTTTTTTGATGCTGAGATCAAGAAACTTGGTGTGGAGAATTGCTATTTCCCCATGTTTGTGTCCCAAGGAGCATTAGAGAAAGAGAAGAGTCATGTTGCTGACTTTGCCCCTGAGGTATATTTATTTTATTTTTTGCTGTTTTCTTTCGAAGTATGTTGAATAGCACATTAAAAAACAAATGTGTAACAACCAGTTTAAAGAAAGGTCGAACTTTTTTTAAAAGTTCTATTTCTACGATTACAGCTAAGTTGTGATTCTTTTTGTAACATTAACTAATTAACTGGTTTTTGCTTTTCCCTTTTACTTCAAATTAGTAGACCCATCCATTTGTTCACAGCCCACACCAGCAATTGTTAGCTTGCTTAATTGAGAGAGAGAAAAAGCTAAAATAGAGAAAACTCCCTGCATTTGTGCTATTGTACTAAAATGCTGTGAAAGCAACATTTGAAAAATGATTTTTATCTTGCTAGGTTGCTTGGGTTACAAGATCTGGCAAAACAGAGTTGGCAGAACCAATTGCTGTTCGTCCTACTAGTGAAACAGGTGAGTCTGGGCCTTGGAATGAAGGCGAAAGCTTACTGAAACAACAGCAGTGTGAAGAGTTGCGCTCTTGTTTTAAGATCTTAATAATCCTCGATGATGCAGAGTTTAGTGAATGTTTAGCCATTACATTGTTTTTTTTTTTTTAAAGAAACACCACTTTCATCATTGTTTATTTCATGCTATTTTTTTTTCCTGGAGCTTTCCAAGTAAAAATAAAATTCCAATTTTATTCTTGGAATTAATTACCTAAAATTATAAGTACTATTTTACTGTATGCCCTACTTGCAGCTTTTGTTAGTTATTTCAATGATAATATATTTACACTTAGATAGCAACTATTATCATAATTTTTTCAGATAAAGAAGACTCTGAAAGGTTAAGTGATTTTTTTGAAACCACACTCCTAAACTAAGGGAGCCATGCATATTTGGGAATTCTGAACCTTTGGGCTTATTCATGTCTTCAACATGATTATCCATCTTTAGATACTTCCAGTGATACTCTAGTGGCACTCTTATATAATTGATATTTCTATGGGTACTCATATAATTTTATAATGATGCATTATTAAAATTATCTTGCTTGAGCTGCTGGCGTTCCTGACCCACAAGTGGCACTTCACTTCCATTCCTGTCAAATCCCATTGTTGGATTTCGGCCTGACAAGTGAGAATACGTTGGAATCTCTGTTCTACCATATCACAAATTTGCTACCCTTTATAGTTCATGTTAAGGAGCTCTGGTAGCATAGTGGTTACAAATCGGGCTGTGAGCCTTAAGGCAGCAGTTCGAAACTACCAGCTGTTCTGCGGGAGAATGATGAGACTTTCTGCTCCCGTAAAGATTTACAGCCTCAGAAACCCTGTACACCGGGGTCGCTGTGGGTCAGAACTGATTCCACGATACATAACCACCACCACCATAGTTCATGTTACCCTGGAACTGTAAGGTGAATGCTTCTTGCATTTATATTGATACTCTTACATAATTTTATAAAGATTCATTATAAAAATTATGATGCTAGCTTTTTAAAATCACAGATCAGTGACTTAAATTTTGTTTTGGACTGATTATGTCATAATCACAAGTGGGCTCTAATAGAACAAGGACCTTCACTTAAATTAGAAGGTCATACATAGCAAGAGCCTTTATACTTTGGGTAGATGAGAGATTGAAAAATATGTCATTATATTAGCAGTACCATTAGATCCTGGCTTAGCACATAAATAGTTATGACGAACTGCACTTAAAACCACCCATCTTTGTTTTGTTACTGTTAATTTTATTTTTAGTAGTATATACTACGTGGAATCCTGGTATGGTGTTGTAGGATTAGCAATGGACTGCTAACTGCAAGGTCAGTGGTTTAAACACGCCAACTTGTCCTTGGAAACCCTGTACAGGGTTGTTAGGAGTTTGAACTGACTTGATGGCACTTAAATAACAGTCATAGCAACAATAAATACAACATACAGTGTTGCAGCTTATAATGCACTGATGTTATTCTCATGCCATCCCACAAAGATTGTGTTTATAATAGATGCTGATGATAAATGGCAATAATAAGGAAGCTGTTTTT